TATTTATGCAGATTAGTGGTGCAGATAGTAATAATACTGATGATCATTTTGATATAAAAACGCTAACGATTAATCGATAATCGATCGTTAATTCTTCTGACGATCGATTAAGAAAATTTCATCAAATGCCCACCCCTAATCCTCACGTTCTCCAGTCAACACTGATAAGACTGAATCTGGGTAAACAGAGAGAAGAGCTGACCCCTGACCCCTGACCCCCCACAGGGACACGGCTCGTCTTAGGCTGGTTACATAAGAGCAGATCCTGGACACTAACACTGTCCTGCTCTGACACTCTCCTCTGCTCCTGACGCCCCTGACCATAACTGCAGATTCAAGGACAACGTCAAGTTCCAGCTGTGTGTGATTGTTTGTGTAGATAAACACACACTACACACGACAACAGACGCACAACTGCATCAAGGACCAGAACACAAAGCATCACATACATATAATAACAAATATAACACAGCTCATTTAAAGACACAGAATGAAACTTTCTGGAGGTCGCACTTCACCTTCATGTTTCCATAGAAATATAAATTTAAACCACACTTTTTTAACATTGTCTGGGGAGAAATCATCTTATATCATCTATTAAATTATAGCCAAAAGAAACAACAACAGGAGTGTCAGGTTTATGGGGATGTGAAGGAAACAGGAAGCATGTTTTTCACTTCAGTACTGACATAAATAAAAAGATACGATTTTATACACTGGAAAAAAATAATATCCAGCTAAATTAAAAAGACTTAAATTAAGAACATTTGACTTTATTTGAGTAGATTCAACTTGAAAAATAAAATGATCTACCAATGGAATAAGTGTGTTTTTCTTAATTCAAGCAACATTTGATTTTGTTTCTTATTTTAAGTGCTTAAAGTTGTTGTTTTTCTTATTTTAAGTGCAGCAAGATGCATTTTTATATTTTAAGTACAAAAAGTCTTGTTCCACTGCAGATGATTTTACTTGTCAAGTGAAATTTCCTCAAATCATGATAAAACTTTCTTAATTCAAGTCGTCTGAACTTGGCTAGATTTTGTTTTTTGCAGTGTGTAGTATAGTATTGTGAAAAAAGTTACATCATGTGGCTTTAAGTGCATTAGTAGCTTAAATAAGATTTCTTCAATGTTACTTTTGACTTCACATGGCAAAAGAAATAAATATTGACTTAATTGACTTACTTAATGTGAAAGCCCAAGGATGTCCACACTGTAACAGGATAATGACAGAGAATCTATTGTGGAACAAATGATTCGACCCGAGGACCTGCCTCCACTTTTCAGACCAAGATGGCGCTCTCGGTCTCTATAATCACAGCCTTTTGCCTTCCTGCTAATTTCTGCTTTCACATCAATCAGAGGGAAGAAGATGAGAGAGTGAACGGACCCAACAGGGCACCCGTAGGAGGCCACACAAGACGGGAAGTTTAAAAGGAGCTAAAAAGACACACAAACACACTTTGATATCCAAATATGTCCATGCGAAACACAAACAGTCGCTCGCACACACGCCGCACGACACGAGCGCGCCGCAGCCGGTTTACTGGAGCTCTTCTCAGACGGATGGCAAACTTTACTATACATGGACCGAGACAAAGGGACGCGCACTGATGAGAGATGAGCGCGCGTAAAAGTGGAATTTCATCAGGGAATGGGACTGGAGTAACAGAGAGCAGAGGCTTAAAGGGCCTGTGTTCCTCTTCTTTCTCATCGTTTCCTCATCACAAACACACCTGGAGTTCTGTTTTGTTTCTTTCATTCACTCATGTTTAACACACAAACCTGCACATTTAGTCTGAGTTCTTCTCTCAAACAGAAAACACTGTTCCACCTTGTGATGTCAGGTGGTGATATAGGACGTGCTCCACTGTGTTTTCAAGCTCCACACGCCTCCACTAGAATCATTTGGATCATTTTAACACTGAAATTGACAAACTCTACTAAACAAAAACTTAAAGGTGTCTTAACTTGAAAACTACAGCTTCATGACATCACAAGGTGGAACAGAGCATTTTGAGCTTTGGAGATGTAGTGTTACTCAAACATGTGAATGAAACAAACAGAAACACAACTCCAGATCTGTTTGTGGGGAGGTAACAACATTCAAACATGACTTAAAGGGACAGTCTGGAATTTTGGACACAGGACCTTATTTCCTAGAGACGTGTGGAGACACTTTTTGAAATATTCCATCCAGTTGTTGTATTTGCAGAGGTCACTGGTGTTAGACTAGTGCATGTCAATGGTCATAGTTCTCCTGCCATTAAAAACAGTCTTACCCCGAAACAAATTTATTATTACACCAGACTGTCCATGTGAATGTCTGTGTTGATAGAATCATTTAAAAGTGAAACCAACCTTACATTTGAAGGATATCTGGCTGAGCAGCAGTGAGTTGTTCTTCCTGATAGAAAGCTCGGCAGCGGCGGACTGATATATCAGAAAATAGTCCCTCAACATGTGACAATTCATGCGATGCAAGGTTAGTTTTATTTCAAACATTATTCTATTGACACAAGAGAGACAAGAGAGCAAAAAAACAGGACAACAGAGAATCAGAACCGAGGAGAAAGGAGGTAACTATTCCCTACATGGCTGGTGTTTCTGAAAAACTACAGAGGATCTTCAGACAACATGAGATCCCGGTCTATTTCAAACCTACGAACAGTCTAAGACAGAAACTGGTCCAACCAAAACACCGAGCCACAAACAAAGCAATGTGTCTACTCCATTCAGTGCAGTGAAGACTGCAGTGAACGCTACACTGGAGAAACAAAACAGACACTTCACAAGAGGATGAACCAACACAGACGAGAGAGCAACACAGGACCTCAGTCTGCTGTCATCTGCACCTAAAATCCACGGGCCACTCATTTGAGGACAGTGAGGTACAAATTTTAGCCAGAGAAAAGAATTAATTTGAGAGGAGAGTGAAAGAAGCTATTTTTGTTAAGAAAGACAATCCATCTTTAAACAGAAATGGACTCAGACACCATCTATCTCCTATTTACAACTCCATCCTCAAACCTAAATCAAAACAAACAAGAGAACAACAGGTGTATCAGGTCAGGTCCAGAGGTGTGGAAGCTCCATTATGACCATGAATTGTTCTGTTAATTAGACCCCCACACCCTGTACAGGTCAATAGACCAAACTAACAAACAGAAACTGTAAACAATTGTGTGTGTTAGTTTCAGTGTAGTTAGCTCCTCCCTGCAGATATAAGGAAATGTCCACCAGCGTCTGACCAGAACTGAAGAAGCAGCTTGGATGAGCTGCAAAACTTCTTCAACCAAACTAACTTGTCCAGTTGACAAACTGAATTTCTCTCCTCAATATCAAAACAGACGTTCACATGGACAGTCTGGTGTAATAATAGATTTGTTTGGGGTGTTTTGTGGAGTGGGTAAGACTGTTTTTAGTGGCAGGAGAACTATGACTATTGACATGCACTAGTCTAACACCAGCGATCTCTGCAAATACAGCGACTGGATGGAATATTTCAAAAAGTGTCTCCACATGTCTCCAACACTCTGACTCACGAGGAAATGAGGCCCTATGTCCAAAACTCCAGACTGTCCCTTTAAAGCTCACAAGAGTCCATTATGTGTAATATAGGACCTTCAACAATATTGACCAAACAGTGAAATCCCAGTGAAGTCTTACAATAGATCTAATTAAACGGCCTTAATGAAGCTCTGCCTAACGGTCAGTTAAGATGCACAGAGGACACAAGATACAGCCAACCACAGACTGCCTCTGTCCTCTGCTCTGTTCTGTACAAACGGGACTTTTGGCTCCTTTGTGGGATCCAAATCTTTTGGATCGGTTCGTGTCAAAGAGTCGTTCAAAAGACTGGCTCGTTAAGTATTTATTTATTATATTGACAATGTGGCTCGTTTTATCTACAAACTAATCACAGAGCCAAATGACGAGACTCAGATCTGTTTAAAATGCTTCTGACTCAGAGGGGGAGTGTGTTTACCCTTTGAAACAGCACATAATATAAATAAATCATCATAAACAGTCATTATGGTACTAAATATGTTTTTTTTTTTGTCTGTGCCCAAAGCTCTCACCCATGATGCCCGCTCTGTTTTTGTGCTGATCCTTGTGTTGGCTCACCGTTAATAATAATAAAAAAAAAAAAAAAGATAAAAATGCATGAAAATTAGAAAGAAAAAGATCCAGTTCCAACCATTTACGTTAAGGAACCGTTCAAAAGAGCTGACTCATTTATAAATGTCACATCGTTAAACTATTCTATTCTATTCTATAGTTTAGCCTTATAGTTTTTTTTGTTTTTTTTTTTTTTTAGTTTTCTCTCTCCTTGGAGATGTTATTGCTTTGTCTGGAATGTTTCACAGTATGGCATTAAACCTTTCTATCTTTTACTATGGAGACCAAACCAGACCGAGTTACAGGTCAGATCTGTGGAGAGGCGACCCCGCTCACTGTCACAATGTCTGTTTTTCTAGGTATTTTTGAGCTCTAAAACCACCTGTGATTGAATAAATGTAAAGTAGAGCTTTTTAATGTGACATTGTGGAACATTCCAGGCTGGGCAATGACATCTCCATAGAAACAAGCAGGTGATGGACCCACAATCAAAAAGTTACATAGTGCACCTTTTGTAATTGTGCTCAACGGTTAATGTAAGGACTTTTTTAAAAACTTGGGAACGCGAGTTTTGGGGTCTCTATAAAACAGGTGTCCATATAAAACTATATCTGGTTTCAGTTCTTTCCTCCTCACACGCATCAGTTCAATTCACTCTGACACTGCTCCACTTCACATGTTACCCAAAGTGAATCTGAAGGTTAATAAAAAACACGTGATCTAACTCTGGACGCGTAATAATGAGTCTATTTGCAACTGTGCCATGCGTTTGGAAATGCGTAAAACATGCGTAAAATTTGGCACACCTCTTCTTTATCCCAAACGGTGCCTCAGGTTGTCAATACTTTATAAAAATACATATAAATAAATTAAACTTACCTTGTGTGGGACATTTTTATGCCTGGTGGGAAAGCCGGTGCCGAAGCTCGCCACACATATTGACCAGATCAGTAGCAGCATCTGAAATCTGCTGGCGACCTCCTTACGCGTCATCTTCTCCACGAGATAACGTCAAATACTCTGACTTGGGATAATCTTTCTAAATGAACAAACTTACAAAAACGTTCCTTGTGTCTTTCTGCGCTAAGTCACGTTGCGTGCCGCTGGGTCCGAGTGCTGTGCTCACTTCACGAAGATGCGCACGGGCGTCTGAGGGATTCCCGCCGGGTGCTCCCCATATTAGGCACCGATCTCTTGTGCGTAAAGTGTAAGATAAGCAAACTCCGAGCTCCTCAACCCATAAAAACAAACTTCTCACGAGCCTTAAGTACCAGAAATGTACCCAACACTCAAACGCACAACGCTCGCTCGATCTCCCACTTCGCTCCGGCGCTCGTTTAATCAGCTACGTTAAACTGTGAGTCATTCCCTCGTGGGTGGATGTTTTCTTCCAATACATTGACATCTGGATGCTGTGGAAGGCGTTTTTGCTATCTGTTTGATGGGTTAATCCATTATCCTTCTGAAGTTCACGCACAGTTTGGAGTAAGTACGTGCGTCTGCTTGCCTGCCTCTCTGCTTAGTGACGCCCAGCCAAACGGTTTCGGTAAACGTGCCTTTTTACGCACGCATTCTGAGAGGTTCTTAGTGAGGGAGCGGTGGGTGGGATGCTCATTGCTCGCAGCTGTGGAAAGGATGGATGTATTGGGTCACTGGGGTTTACTAGGTTTTGATTATAAATAGTCTGCGGAGGACGCAAAGTGGCAGAAAAAAGTTTTGTGTCAAATGCGTAACGGTGATTTCAGTTGCATGCGAAATTGACTTTTGTGAGCTTTAAGACGTGTTATAATGTTATTGCTTCATCAAAAACAGACCTGGAGTTGTTTTACTTCATTCACACATTTGGGTAATCCTTTATTATTAGTCTGTCTACATCTCTAAAACTCAAAATGCACTTTGTGATGTCATAAAGCAGTAGTTTTCAAGTTAACAAATGTCTTTTAGCTCAGAAGAGATTGGATAATTTCAGCCCTGGAATTCCCAAATGATTCTAGTGAAGGTGTATGGAGTTTAAAAACACAGTGGAGCACTTCCTGTGTCACCACATGACATCATAAGGTGGAACAGTGTTTTCTGTTTGAGAAGTCAGCCTGAATGTGCAGGTTTGTGCATTAATATCTTTCAGAACTTTCTACTTGCTGTAATTTTTTCAACTTTTCTTCACAAATTGCAAATCTTGCTTGGTGTAAAACTATAATTTATATTTACAACAGGTTTTATCCAATCAAATTAAAGGTGTGAATAAAACAAAACACAACTCCAGTTCTGTTTGTGATGAGGAAACTAGATTAAAACAGAGATAAGAAAATAGCTTCATATGGACACTTTAAATAAAACACGTACAAGTTTGTGGTAGAAAGAAGTTTTTTAATACAGGACCGTTTCCAACATCATGGCTTAAAGTTCTCAGTGTCTTCTAATACAACTTAAATAGCAAAAGCAACTAATTCATCTTCAAGTGTCAAAGTTTCAGTAATCTGTATTTGAACTGTTTTCAAATACATTTTTGCCCTCACTGAATATCTGATGTCACAGATGTACAAAATGTGATGGAAAATATCGTCAAAGTACAAAGAAATTTACTGTGTCAAATATATCACTGAGCATTTTCTCATGTATATAATGATAATAAAAAAATATACCATGGAAAGATTCAAAAATAAAATAATATAATATAAAGGACTTAAACAAAACAGTGATAAAACGTAACATCAGATGGTCTTGGGTCTATTTAACTTATGCACATTAATAATAAAGGAATGATCATATTTAGAGCCATAGACTGTCCAGGCCTCTATTTCACATCTGTAAATTAGAAAAACAAAATACACACGCACAAAAAGATTTCAACAGATGGAGGGAGATCTGAGTGCCAGTATTTACACACAATGTCAGACAAACGGCATTGTAATACTAAATAAACAACAACAACAAAAAAGTACAGTGGAATGCCAGTCTTATATATGCAAAAATCAGCTACTACTTCATCTGGGCATATGCGATTCAACAGAGGTGGAAGTTGTTGGAAAGTGGTCAGTAGCATGTGGCGGATTAAAGGTCCCATATGACGCAAAAGTGACTCTTGTGTTGTGAGCTTTAAGTCAAGTTCTAATGTTGTTATCTCCTCAAAAACACACCTGGACAGACTTATAATAAAGATTGACTCAAACATGTGTGATGAAACAAAACACAGCTCCAGGTCTGTTTGTGATGAGGAAACGACATTAGAGCAGAGATCAGAAAACTGCGTATAACGGGCCCTTTAAGTACAAGGAGGTATTTGTAACTGTGGTGCAAAACTACCCATGAAACCAAGGCCTTATGGGTACAAGTGTGGATGTCACAAGTCACAAGTGCACATTAGAGGAGCTTTGGCCCAGCGAGAAAAAGATTGATATTTTTAGTTATACATCGTAACTGTGTTTTAGTAAAAATGTTTGAGCGGTTTGACCTGTCATAGAGACTTTAATCCAGAGTAAAGTTAGAGTAAAGTACTCTTCTATTCTTTTCTGTTCTTCTATTCTCCATTTTTTTCCTTTTGTTCCTAAAATGGTCAAGTTTATTCTACTTTTTAGCTCTCACTATTATATTGTGACCTGAACCATCACAATGTAACAGTGTTGACATCCCTATAGCTGTCAGGCCATAAGGTAAAGAGAGAGTAGTTTGCACTTATAACCTTCACATTTAACACTAGTGTGGTGTTGTTGTGTGGCTCAGTGGTGGAGCTGCTGCACATATGCGCCGCAGCCACGATTCTGGACTTGGACAGTTTGACATTTACTTTGTATCTCTTCCCACATACTCCTTTTCATGTATATTGTACAATCAAGTAAAAAAAAAAAAAAGGAAAAAAAAAACATGGACAAAATTATAACTGATACTTTGCAGTGACATCGCGCTGGGGGTGTTCTACAAATATGTCTATTGGCAGAATGTTCAACAGTTACCATGGTGTGTTATGTTATTAGGTTCTTTTTTCAGACCTACAGTTTTGTTTCATACCTGACAGTTTTGACTGCCCACTAGTGTTCTTCCTCAGAGTCACGTGATGTTGCTGTGACGTGTCCAGTCAGCTGATTTATACAGGTTTTGGTGCTGTCTTCCTCCCGGTGGAGGCAGGATGACAGCACCATCTGCAGTCTGACTTCCTCAGGACAGTATCCCAGGTGTGTGAGTAAAAAAGCCCCCTCGTCCTGGTTTATCATCCTGTGGGCTCGCTAGTGAGCAGTTAAAACTGTCAGGTATGAAACAAAACTCTAGGTCTGAAAAAGAACCTAATAACATAAAATGTCGGAAGATCAAATGAATCTCATTGGACTACTTACCATGGTGACACAATGACCACAGAGAAAAAAGTTTGAAGGTAGAAAAAAAAAAAAAAAAAGGATTTGGTCACTAACTGAAAAACTGTCCAGCTAAGTCACTTTTTTCTGTTAGATTGTGTTTAAACGAAGCTCTGATTCAACTCTTACAAGCCTCAGACAGAGCAGTGCCTACAGATAGCTTCACACCGCCAAGGAAATCAGCTGCAAAGTATCAAGAGTGAAATGTGTGCAGTAGAAACACCTCCCACCTCCACCTCTGCTTTACAATGCTCGTCAGTAGTTTATGCACCGAGTGAAGACTTCGAACATACAAGGGACACTTCAGCTGCCTTTTGTGGAACAGTTCAATGTCGAGCGAAAAATCTTATTAAGACTTCAATAAATAAAACTATGGTCCGTACTTCAGATGGTGCCATCGTCATGCGTACAGACTTTACATTACAGTGCGCCATGGCAACGCTCATTCACAAACAATGTGATTTAGTGAGAAAAAAACAAATCACACATGTAGCTTGTTAGCTTAAAGAAATGTTACAGACGCCGGGCTCACGTTTATGTCGACTGCAGGTGTAAACAGTAAATAAGGCCGATTTCATTTTTATAGAAAACTAGCAGTAAAAAATATTCCTTAGCCTTGCTCCCCAGGATCTTTTCCCCTGTTAACGTTTTATCCTTTAGAACATCTGCTTTGCATTTGAACGGTAAGGTATAAAATAGAGCTATTCATTTACATCCTTTGGTCAGAGGATTCACCAAATATTGACTTTTTTCTGTTCAAGTAAAAGTATTTAGGAAAAAGCATTGGATAAATACAGTGTGTGCTCAGGTTACTTCTGTAGATAGACTTCGGTAGATCTCTTTTGAGGTTAGGGCTGCTGTCGTCAGGTAGACTTCCCACCAACAGCAATAAGTTATATGTACATACGCTGCCTTCTCCCTGTGTGCACCAAAGCGTCTCACTGGTTAGACCTTAGACTTTTTCTTTTTTTTTTACATACTTACATATTTATTCTATGAAGCCAAGGCAATCATTATTTTCATTTTTAAATATAGAAAAATATTCTTATTGCACATTATTTAGACATACATTAGATGTGCACACACTGGAGCGATGCATTCGGAGACAGCCAGGACAAACCGAGCAGATGAGACGTGAGGGAGAGGAGCTGCTTCTGCTCCTGGTCGGATCAGTGATGAAGACTTTGGTTATTTAATGGGGGCAGGAGGGGTAATCGGGGCAGGAGGGGTGATGAGGAGAGGTGATGAAGAGAGGTGATGGGCCAGGAGATGAGGGTAGGAGAGGTGGTCAGGGCAGGAGATGTGATTGGGGCAAAGATGGGAGCAGGAGAGGTCATTGGGGCAGGAGAGATGGTTATGGGACCAGGAGAGATAGTTATAGGGGTAGGAGAGATGGTTACGGGGGCAGGAGAGGTGGTTACGGGGGCAGGAGAGATGATCGGGGCAGGAGAGATTATCGGGGCAGGAGAGATGATCAGGGCAGGAGATGTGGGCTCTGGTGAGAAGGTTCAGTCTCAGGTTCAGTAGATGGACTCAGGAGGAGGCACAGGGCGAGGACAGAGACACATAGCTCAGTCCTGGAGCAGACTCTCGTCAGACGCCCAGCTCAGGGAGGGCAGGGGCTGCTCGCAGCGGGAGTACTTCAGCTGAAGCAGGTCGCCCACTTCACTGATGGCCGCCAGCGCCTGTCACACAAACACACTTTCAGTTAAGAGCCGTTTGTTTACAACTGAGCAATGCAACAGGAAGGAAAACAAACAAACCATCACAGTGAGAGCAGTTCACAATGTCTTTTACTTGTTTTTGTTTTTCAACTTGAGTCACTGCCATAGACAGTTTAAAAAAGTAAATTAAGAGAGTGTGACGTCACCCACAGCGTTCAGCGCTGCTCAAATAAAGCTCATGATGCTCACGGATACAGAAGACAATCTGAACCCAAGCTCTACATTATGAATACGACTTTTTTGATGGCTTTCTGACAAAAACCCCCCACCAGGATCATGTAGAGCGAGTTAATACGAACATTTTAAGACCAAAACGACGAGGCTCACAGCAGCAGGTACAGAGAGAGGGAGCGCAATATTCCAATGTAAGTCAATGGGAGCCAGAGTCAGAAGGAGCCAGAAGAGCCACATGTGAACTTCCTGTTTGGAATGTGGCGGCTAGTGTGTTAGCTATGTCCATTTATATAAACAGTCTATGGTCACTGCCCATGTGTCTATTTTAAAGGTGCACTGTGTAACTTTGCATGCAATCTTCATATGTATGTGTGTATGTGTGTATGTGTGTATGTATGTGTGTGTGTATGTGTATGTATGTGGTGTATGTATGTATGTATGTGTGTATGTATGTATGTGTGTATGTGTGTGTGTATGTGTGTATGTGTGTATGTGTGTATGTATGTATGTATGTATGTATGTGTATGTATGTATGTATGTATGTATGTGTATGTATGTATGTATGTATGTATGTATGTATGTATGTATGTATGTATGTATGTATGTATGTATGTATGTATGTATGTATGTATGTATGTATGCATGTATGTATGTATGTATGTATGTGCGGATGGGCTATTTTTTCATCCGCAACCGCAACACAAAACTCATCATTCGCCCGCTATCCATTTTGCAACGAAGGTTTTCAAAACCGCACCCACCCGCCATCCGCCGATTGATTTTAGAACAATCATACAGCAAACAAACTAAGGAGCCTCGATAAAAATGCAAACTCTATAGCTCATTCATTCCAAAATTCGCTCAGCGTGTATGTTCGCATTCTTGTATGTATGTATGTATGTGTGTGTGTATGTATGTGTGTGTATGTATGTATGTATGTATGTATGTGTGTGTGTGTGTATGTATGTATGTATGTGTGTATGTATGTATGTATGTATGTATGTATGTAGTATGTATGTATGTATGTATGTATGTATGTATGTATGTATGTGTGTGTGTATGTATGTATGTATGTATGTATGTATGTATGTATGTATGTATGTATGTATGTATGTATGTATGTATGTATGTATGATGTATGTATGTATGTATGTATGTATGTATGTATGTATGTGTGTGTGTATGTATGTATGTATGTATGTATGTATGTATGTATGTGTGTGTATGTATGTATGTATGGACGGATGTATGGATGGATGCTTTATTAATCCCCATTCCGGTTTTGTCCCTTGATATGGCATTTAAACTTCTCAATCACCATGGTGACAAGGCGGCGCCATCAGACCAAGTAATTCACAGGTAATAAAATCAACAGAAATGGGCAGCGCCATGATTTACTTGCTCATGTAACAAAATCAGAGCTAACTGGGCAAATAAAAGTGAGCGTGAATAACACATAAACGTGTTATGTGAATGAGAAATCCTAACTGGAGGGAGCAAACGCTAACTAGCCAACAGATGGTAGTACGTGTAATAAATAAAGTGCTGATCCTAAATCACACCTGAATCAGCAGGTTTTGACATGTCATAGCCTTGTAATAAAACAAAGGTGAACGGGTGTTTCCCACGGCAACCACAAACTCCTCCAGTCTTTCCACATGAGACCGTATCAGAACCGCTGGGCACCTGGAAACAATTTACCTTGCCCGTTTTTTTTTTTTTTTTTTTAAATCGCTCTGAAATATCTGGAGCAGGTTTTCCCAAAGACGGAAAAAGCGTCGTCTGGGAACGCTGTACAAAGACGAGCTGATGCCCTTTAAACGGTCTATTAAGAATGAAGATGAATGAAGAGGCTTTGGAGAGACGCAGAAACTCAAATAAAAGCCCCAAGTCTGAGCACAGTTGTAATTCTTCTGGACAGCTTTGGCCTTAGAAGATCTTTCAGGGAATAAAAGGACATAAGAACTATTATCGGCCACACTTTAAAGGGCTCATATGACGCCATTTTCTGATCTATGTCCTGATGTTGTTTTCTGATCCCAAACAGACCTGGAGTTTTGTTTTGTTTCATTTACACAAACCTGCAGATTTAGCCAAGTTCTTCTCTCAAACAGAAAACACTCTGTTCCCCTTGTGATCTCATGTGGTAATACAGGAAGTGCTCCACTGTGTTTTTAGACTCCACACCTTAACTAGAATATTTTGGTTGATTTGAGCCCTGGAATTGCCAATCTGTAATGAAGTAAAGGTTAAAAAGGAACTGTTCACATGAAAACTACCACTACATGACATCACAAGGTGGAACAGAGCATTTGGAGCTTTGGAGATGTAGACAGACTAATAATACAGGGTTCTGCAGATATTCTGGTTGGGGCTATGAACTGAACAATAAGACTATTGGTCACATTTGGTCCAAAAAGCCTCACATTTTTTGAGCTTTTAATATACAAAGTTGTTTTGTAGTTACTTGAGAGGTAAATATGAGCTACAAAACACTGTGGTGAGGCTGTGGTGATGTTGTGGTGAGGCTGTGGTGAGGCTGTGTGTGAGTGATGTTGTGGTGATGTTGTGTGTGTGTGATGTTTGGTGATGTTGTGGTGATGTTGTAGTGATGTTGTGGTGATGTTGTGGTGATGCTGTAGTGACGCTGTGGTGATGTTGTTGATGTTGTAGTGATGCTGTGAGTGATGCTGTAGTGATGCTGTGGTGATGCTGTGGTGAGGCTGTGTGTGTGTTTGTGCTGTGGTGATGTTGTGATGAGATGTGTGTGATGTGTGGTGATGTTGTGTGGGTGATGTTGTGTGAGTTGTGTGAGACTCCCGTGATGTTGTGGTGATGTTGTGGTGATATTGTGGTGAGGTGTGATGTGGTGATGTTTGGTGATGTGTGATGTGTGTGAGTGATGTGTGGTGATGTTGTGGTGATATTGTGGTGACGATGTGGTGATGTTGTGGTGATGTTGTAGGTGTGTGTGATGGTGATGTTGTGGTGATGTTGTGTGATGCTGTGGTGATGTTGTGGTGATATTGTGGTGAGGCTGTGGTGATGTTGTGATGTGTGAGGTGATGTGTGTGATGATGTGTGTGATGTTGAGTGATGTGTGATGTTGTGATGTTGTGGTGAGTGTGGTGATGTTGTGGTGAGGCTGTGGTGATGTTGTAGTGAGACTCCCGTGATGTTGTGGTGATGTGCGTGAGACTGTGTGATGTTTGTGTGATGTTGTGAGCTGTGCTGTGTGTGATGTGTGGACGCTGATGTTATCGTGATGTTGTGGTGATGTTGCAGTGAAACTGTGGTGAGATGTGGTGACTGACCGTGTCCAGCATGTCTCTGGTGTGGGCGGCGGAGATACAGAAGCGTGCCCTGGACTCGATGATGGGCGTGGCCGGAAAGCCCACCACCACCGTGCCGATGTTCCTCTTGACCATCTCCCGCCCGAAAGCCCTGCAAAACACAGGCCAGTTACAAAGAGCACCTTTCAGATCATCTCACCGACGCTGACATCAAACACGAGCACTTACCCGATCTTGGCGGGCATGTAGAGCATGAGGGGGACCACGGGCGAGTCGTTGTTGCCGTAGATGATGAAGCCCATGTCCCGGAGTCTCTGGCGGAAGTAGGTGGTGTTTTCTGAAAGCTGCCTCAGACGCTCTGCACCTGAAGGAAGATAATAATAATAATAATAATGAGTTGAAAAAATAAATAAATAAAGTAAAACAGAAAACATTAGCAAGTGTCAAAATGTGGATATGATAGTTACAAGATTTTTAAACTATTTTCTGATCTATGTTATAATGTAATAACCTTTCCACAAACATACCTGGAGTTCACAAACCAAGGAGTTCACAAACCAAGTATTTTTATTTATTTTGAGTTCTTCTCTCAAAACTGAAAACACTCTGTTCCACCTTGTGATGTCATGTGGTTATACAGGAAGTGCTCCACTGTGGTTTTAAAGGTGCATTGTGTGACTTTCCTGGTGGAGGGTCTGTTCAATGCTTTTTTCCATGGAGATAATATTTGGAATGTTCCACAGTATGGCATTAAATGTTTCTATTTTTATGTAGACCAAACCAGACCAAGTTACAGGTCAGATCTGTGGATAGGTGACCCCGTTCACAGTCAGAATGTTGTTTTTCAAGGTATTTTTGAGCAGTAAAACCACCTGTAACTGAATGAATTTATGGTAGAACTGTTTAATGTCACACTGTGGGACATTCCAGACATATCAGTGACAAACTTCACCAGAATCATGTGGATCATTTCAGTCCTGGAATTGCTGTTGTCTGAACTAAAGGTAAAAGGAGCTGTGTCACTTGAAAACAACAACTACATGACATCACAAGGTGGAACAGAGCATTTTAAGCTTTGTTGATGTAGACAGACTAATAAAGAATGACTCACTCAGACATGTGTGAATGAAACAAAACACAGCTCCAGGTCTGTTTGTGATGAGGTAACAATATTATAACGAGACTAAAAGCCCACAAGAGTCAGTTGTGTGTAATAGGCCCTTTAAGTGCACTAGCAGTCCATTACAATGCAGTCAAATCGGTCCAGACTTAAAGAGGGAAAAGTGAGTGAATAGTCAAAGCTATGCAAAGCGTGAAGGGATGAAGTGCTCGTTAATCCTGTGACATCTGCTCGACGAGAGTTCCATTCCATCTGAAAAACGGCGTCTCCAGCCTTGATCTGCCCAGAAATAGTGCGAAAATAAAATATAAAAGTCGTCTGTGGAAAGACCCAGACAGCATCGTGCCCCGACAGACAGCTCCTGCCTTTGAAGCCGATTCTTTAGCTTTGTTTTTAAGGCCAAAGGTCAAATGAAACCAGCGTCAGTCCTTGCGTGTCAGAGGGATACAGGGAGCACTTGACTTCACTCAGATCAGAGTAAATAAAATAACAAACAACAGTATGTCCCTGAAGGCACCATCTGTGGGGCTGGACAACAGTGCAACTATAACAGAATCAAGACAATGCACCGTCGACAAGGACTCACAATCACAGGGTCCCTTCACAGTTCCATTCTATACAATACTCGATACATGACTCACGATACGATATTATCATGATATGGCAATACATATGATAATAGATATATTACACATTTTAGTAGTAATTTTGTTAATTAACTCATTCTCCAACAGGCTCCTACAGCTCCACTCAAACAGTGAGAGATACAGGACTGCATTCATACTATAATACTCCCTACAACTGTACAACAACTCACACTTATGGAACAGATAATACTCCCTACAACTGTGCAACAACTCACCTTTATGGAACAGATAATACTCCCTACAACTGTGCAACAACTCACCTTTATGGAACAGATAATACTCCCTACAACTGTACAACAACTCACCCTTATGGAACAGATAATACTCACACTGCACAGGAAAACTGCATGAGGAAAATGATATTGCAAGATTTATTTTTTTTTCTTTGTGTTCACATTTGGATTGGATAAAAAAGATTTACATGTTGGTGAGTTCCATCTCTTACGGTCCCAAAAATCAGTTCTTGAATGGAACCAAAAAAATGACATCAAATAAATTTAAAATACATATATAGGAGCCAAAATTGAAAACTGAGTCATTTCTGTATTAGGAATTATGTTAAAATCTTGTCATGTCTCGTTCTCATGGACCCAATCTTGTGTCTCGTCTTGTGAAAATGTAGTCTTATCTTACCCCTAATTAGTATGTTTCTATATTTTATTTTAACTTAACATTTATGTAATAATACATGTATTTGATAATTTTCATCAAAACAGTGAATATGTCAAGAGTATTACATAAACAAGTTTCCTTTCACTAAATACGCAACAGAATTTTAGTGCGGTCGCCAAAATATCACCACAAGACACAAAAAAAAACGATATATCGATACAGTAGACCACAATAATAATATCACCAAATTCAGTACTGTGATATATCGATGTTTTGATATTTTGCCCAAACCTTTGCCCACGATTATTAACATAAAAAAAAAAAAAAAAAAGCAAATATAAAGCAGACAAAAATAGAAAAGGCAGAGTGATGGAACCTTTGATCCATTTTGACAGAGACCGATTCCAGAAACTGTCACTTTGTCCCAGGCTTTGTCCAACAGCTCTGCAGCCAATCAAAAAACCATCATAACACAATTATTTCCACCAGGATTTCTGTCAAACTGGAATCTTTTCTGAGGGTTCGGTGTGTGTGGCTCTGACAAACGTTGGTGACTCTGAAGAAACTCTAAAAGCCGCTACTCACGTCTGAACCAAACTCACTGAACTCAGTAACCGTTGGCCAATGCAGCGAGCTTGTGACTGTAATTTTAAGTTAAAGGTGCATTGTGTAACGTTTCTGGTGGAGGGCACTTTCCAGGTATTTTTGAACTATAAAACCACTTGTAATTGAATAAATATAAGGTAGGGCAGTTTAAAGTCAAACTGTGTAACATTCCAGGAGCAATGACATATCCATGGAAACAAACAGGTGACAAATCCCCAACCAAAAAGAAGCATAGTGCACCTTTAAAAGAAAGCTCAGATTAAAGTCTAACAAGCCTCAGACAGAGCAGTGCTTACAGTTAGCATCACACCCCCAATGACTGATGACAATCTCAGCTGCAAAGTATCAATACAGTATTTAATCAACTTACATCTAATAGTAATAATATTCAAAGCAATGAAATTCTGAATTTAAATTTGAGTTATGAAAAGTGCAGTGTCTGAGGGGAAGTAAATTTGATCTCACATCTGTGTTTTAAATGCATCAATCCAGCCCCAAAAAGACATCACATCAGACGAGCTGTTCTTCTAAAATAAGCACAGATCTGGTAACTTTTGCAGAGTCGAGGAAACTTTGATCTTCTCTGATTTATGTGGTCCCGCTATTGTCAGCAGATAAATCACAGTAATGCGTTTGTCCTCTAGGAAAGGTCGCTGGCTTCATATCGGTGGAAGAATTTAAAGTGGAGTAGTACAATCTTTATGGGCTGGTTAATGATTCCCATAGAGGCTGATACCGGCGTGATACAGCTTTATCACTCCAGCAGCAACGGCCAACGAAAACAAACACACAGAAAGGCAAAGTACAAGAGAAAGCCGAGACGAGGTTCAAAAAGAGAGGCAAGGTGACACAGCGGTTGCACAAGGGCGGACACATGGCGCCATCTAGTGGTCATGCTAGGAACTCCTGTTTCTCACAATTCCTACATGTTTTTTGTTTTTGTTTGTTTTGTTTTTGGTTTAAAATTTTCTACTTGCTTTTGAGTGAAACCTGAACCATAGTTCTCATTATAATCTGAGAGGGACCAGAGTATATGAAAAAAAGGCCAGAAGGAGAAGATCTATGGAATAGTCTGGACGGTTAAAGGCATTAAAAAAAACCTAAATAAATAAAAAAACAAATTCTAATCGACTAATACAGAGCTCATGACCATATGCAGAGAGAAAATAATAATATAAACAACAGAAGCATGTCAGTGTAGGATAAATGTAAATACAAAACTCGTCAAAGTCATAATTATCATGTTCCAAAATGTGTCACATCAAGAGCTCAATTTTGCTGTAAATTCTGGTGGCAGTTTTCACATCTGGTTAGTGACGGCACATCAGAGGTGATGTTTGAAAAGAGTTTGAGAAAATATCTGATATTTCATGGTGATGTTTGATAATTTTTCAATTGTCGATGTTTCATTGTGTTTTAATCCATGTTTGAATCAAATGAATTTAATCCATGGTGTTTAAATGTCAATTTTTTAATATATATATTTTTTATGCACAGCGATAATGTTCAATTTTTAATGTGTTCATAAGGTGGAGGGTTTAATGTAAGCGCTTTTGGGGTTTTTGCCTCTTCCGGCACCACCTACTTTTTTATTGAGTGTGTGTGTGTCTGTGTTTTTTTTTTTTATGTTATGTGCAAAACAAATAAATAAAAATGTTGATAGGAATAAATGATTTTGAAGGATGTGTTCTGTGTTGGAATTGGAACAGAGCACACTCAAAAGAACTGTTATACTGAACTTTTTTCTCTGTTCTATCCATCAAGTTGCTGTATTTAAGGCATCATAATTTATAGACAGGGTTAGGCATTTATCACTTCAACCTAAACTCTTTTCGGTCAGAGTATTACGCGACATGTTTGTATCAATCTATCAATGTTCATGACTAAAATAAACTACAACTTGATTTTTTTTAACAGACACGTTTCCTGCGTTTCTGATGGCTTGCAAAATATAGGGTAAACATTATAAAGAGAGTGCAGGAAAATATGAATTTGTGTGAACTCAGTGTTTAGCTCTGCTGCTGAGCACTTTGGTATTACTGACCGAGCTGTGTCCCGTCCTCCCCCATGATGATCTTCATAGATGTAATGATCTGCTGAGCCACAGGGGGCGACATTGAGGTGGCATACAGCGCACTGTGGGACTGTATCCTCAAGTAGTCAATCAGCTCCTGTCACAAACACATACACGTCACACAATAATCACACACACTGTAGATTAGGACAGTAAAGATCACAATGCAAAAAAAAATATGAGACAGTAGGAAAGAAAGAAAGAAATCAGTTATTCCCCTTTGATTAATTCTTTATAATATTTTTTTCCCTGAACTACTATTACTAATTAATATTATAACTTTATCTGTGATTTGTAACAAGGTGAACACATTTTATTAACTCTAAACTTAAATGTATTGTGCATTGTGTAATTTTTCTGGTGGAGGATCCATCAAATGCTTTTCTCCATGGAAATGTTATTGCTTTGTCTGGAATGTTTCACAGTGTGGCATAAAGTACAGCTGTTTAATGTTATATTGTGGAACATTCCAGGCAGAGCAATGACATCTCCATAGAAACAAGTAGGTAACAGATCCTTCACCAAAAAAGTTACACAATGCAACTTAAAGATGTCTCTTGATACAGCGAAAACAATACAAATATGCAGTACAATGGAGTAATACTCACAGTCCACTCGTGTTACATAGAAATAATAGCATATAAGTGGGATATGTTTTTATTACTTTATTCTATATTTTGCTTTATTTTGACTTGTACATATACAGTTAGACACATCACAATATATTAGAATAACAAAGAATTGTATAAGTCTAAGGTCTGTCCAAGTTTAACACTAAATTCCCAAATCAATAGTGTGATTGTATAAAGTAAGTTTTGTCTTATTTCATTCATAATAACAATACCAGACCTTTTTGCCCCCGATGTACCCTCCAGCTGCCCCAAAACTCTTAGTAAATGTGCCCATCATGATGTCCACGTCTCTGGGGTCTAATCCGAAGTAGTCCACCACTCCCCGGCCACGGGGTCCCAGGGCCCCGATGCTGTGAGCCTCGTCCAGGTACAGGTACGCTTATAACGCTTCTTCAGGGCGATGATCTCAGGCAGACGCACAATAGAGCCCTCCATACTGAAAGATGAGGACGGCAAACACACATTAAGACTTGTGTCTCGGACACACTGCACCCTACACAGGTGTACAAACTGCATGTTTCATGCATATTTTTTAAACTGTATTGAAGTGAATGAGAAGGGCCACACTGCCCCCTGTTGAGCGCGTGTGGAGCAGCACGACCTCTGAGCGGGGATTTCAGAAACTTAGTTTTGACGTATTATTTTAAAATGTAATTTAAGTGAACCAAGACACACATCTCCATCAAAATACACAGAAATCATGCAAGAACCTAATACCATGAGCATGTGTTGTTGTATTTGTGCATTTACCATCAGCACATGTTCCTGGAACAGTTATGTATTGTTTGAAGAAGCCTGTACAGAAGGTAAATACTTATTCGGCTGGTTACTTTCACTGCAAACCTGTTAAAGTGGCTAAACCAGGTCTCCAACCTGTATCTCGGGAGCTACCAGTAGCTCTTTACCCCCTTCCAAGTGGCTCGCAAAAGAATTTCTGAATTATACATATTGTGCTGAATGACTCAAATTTGATGAACTGCCATTGTAAATGTATCAGTTTGTTGCCTAACTTTGTGCACTAATAAAATGATAAATGTTTGTGTTTTATATGTATCTAACTGTTCTCCATCTAAGGATTTCCTGTGCTCAATTTCTTGTGACAGCTAAAATTTGTAGCTGTTGAGCATTCTCTTTTTGGAACGGTAGCTCCCGTTAAGTTTGATGGTCTTTCTCATTGAGAAACACAGAGTCATTGTGGTGTGCACACATCCTGTTGGAGCTGCTGGTGTGGCCGTTCTCGTGCAGCTGCTGTTTGACAAGGTAACACACATTAAAACTTTATTTCTGGCAATGACACAACTGAATACAATTTAGTTTCTACCGATCTTTTTAGTACTTTTATGGCTGCGCATGTATTTTACCAAAGTAGTCCTTTATCGTGTTCACGGATCTGTCAAGGTCCTAAGGTCCTATTTGCACAGTGCACTGGGGAAACACACGGTCCCATATTGACTCTGTACTTAACCTTAAAGTGAAGGTGATTTTCTGTGTCTATTTTGTCAGGCAAACCAACACCTGCACAAACCCCAGAGGAAAACAAGCTCCATTAAGAACGCATTAGAAAGGAGCATTGATTCTGTCACACCTTCACTCGGAAACATATTGATCGACAATACAGAACCAAAGGAATACACAAATATATTAAAGCATATTGGGAAAACAAGGGCATGCTCTTATTCTATAGTTCATGTTGAGTCAGCACTTTGAAAAGCTCACTTTTCTGGTGAAGGGTTCGTCAAACGCTTTTCATCATGGAGAGGCTATTGATTTGTCTGGAATGTTCCACAGTATGGCATTAAACCTTTCTATCCTCATGGAGACCAAACCAGACAAAATTACAAGTCAGATCTTTGGAGAGGCGTCCCCACTCACAGTCACAATGTCTGTTTTTTAGGTATTTTTGAGCTGTAAAACCACCTGTAATTGAATAAATGTAAAATAGAGTTGGTTAATGTCACACTGTGAATGTATTTATTATAGTTGTTTTTATTGCTCAAAAATGCATTCCTTCAAGTATACACAGATCTGACTTGTAATTTGCCTTTTGTTGCCATTTGCTCATCTATGGAGATAGATATTTTAATCCCATACTGTCAAACATTCTGGGAAAAGCAACAACTTCTCCATGGAGACATGCGGGTGGAGGATCTTTCACCAGAACAGTAACACACTGCAACTTAAAAAGGTTCTACACACAAAAATTAACTCTTGTGAGCTTTAAGTCATGTTATAATATTGTTAACTCCTCAAAAACAGACCTGGATTTGTGTTTTGTTTCATTCACACATGTTTGAGTAATCTGGGTTTATAAGTCTTGTTTATAAGTCTTGTTCCACCTTGTGATGTCATGTACTGGTAGTTTTCATGTGAACAGCTCTGTTTATTTTTAGTTCAGGAGAGATCGGCAGTTCCTGGGCTGAAAGTATCCAAATGATTCTAGTGAAGGTGTGTGGAGTTTAAAAACACAATGGAGCACTTCTTGTATTACCACATGACATCAGAAGGTGGAGTGTTTTCTGTTTGAGAGAAGAACTCAGTCTATGTGCAGGGCTTGTGTGTTAAACATGTGTGAATGAAACAATAAAACAAAACATAACTCCAGGTCTGTTTGTGATGAGAAAACGACATTAGAACAGATCAGAAATAGCGTGATATGGGCCCTTTAGGTGCAGATTCCGATTTCAAGTTAACGAGCAAGTGAACATTAGACCAGCATAGAGAATTAGTTAAGCATTGATCTTCTGTCATTGCTGAAATCTCTCCTCTGTAAAGCTATAAAAGCACTTCACAGTTTTACTACTAATGACTGTGACCCTGGATTCAATAAAAGTGTTCATGTGCCTGGAGTTGTGTTTTATTTCATACACACGTTAACACAAACCCTGCACATTTAAACTGAGTTCTTCTCTTAAACGGAAAACACACTGTTCCACCTTGTGATGTCATGTGGTGATACAGGAAATGCTCCATTGTGTTCTTATGAGTTTAGTTCAGTCTTTATTTGAAAGGACAATGTACAAAGACTTTAAGCTCGTAGTTTCCATCTGCAGTCCCTGATTTACAGAAATAAATGATACACTGCGATTATAGTCAGCAATAAGAACAATTCACACAGTTTAGCCCTGGAGTTTCCGATCTCCAGGGCAAACGGTAAGATAAGATAAGATAAGACTTTATTGTCTCCCATGGGAGAAATTTGTCTTGGGACAGGGGGTCACATGCTTTATCAAAAAACAGGACAACACAAAGTACCACATAAACAAACACCATAGAACAAAAACAGATACGAGACCAAGTGTGACCACGAGTGATGCACCAACAGGACCTTTAAATTATTCTTTACAGACAGGCCCTTTGCATTCTTGTATTCTATTAATAATTGCACATTCCCTAAGCCTATGTGCAGTTTTGATTGCACATTCTCTTTTACATTTATTTTTTAACTGCACTATCTGAGTTTAGCAGATTAACGACTAATGGCACAAAAGAATGTCTGAATCTGTTCAGTTTACAGTTTGGGACCCTGAACCTTCTCCCTGATCGTATCAACTCAAACTGACTGTGAAGAACATGGGTTGGGTCACTGGGCTCCTTCCTGCCGAGCTTCCTAACAGTCTCCTCAAAAATGTGCTGCAGTGAGCTCGGGGCCACACCCATTATTTTACCCGCTCTTTTAGTCAAGGTAAAAATCTGTGATTTAAGTTTGACTGACAGGTTACCAAACCATGTTGACATGCCATAACGTAAAACTGATTCCATGCATGCTCTGTATAACATCAGCATTATATTTGTATTCAGGTAAAAGGAGTTGTTAATTTGAAAACTATAACTTCATGACATCTCAAGGTGGAACAGAGCATTTCGAGCTTTGGAGATGACAGACAGACTAATAACAAAAGATTCCTCAAACATGTGTTAAATTCACATGCCCCAATAGTGAAGTTGTTGAATGTAGAGAGAGGTATCTGCCTAAATATTTTGTAGTACACCTTTCAACGCAGACATTTGTACTGTTGTTGCAAATGTGAAAGTACTAGAATAACTTGTAAACTTCCTTAGTCAAAGTAAGGTATTTCTTTGTTCTGTTGTATATTTGTCGTTGTGCTGCATACTATGGAGAATGCCCATGAGCAGTAAATAAACTGAATTGTAAGAAACAAAACAACTCCAGGTATGTTTCTGAGGAGGTAACAGTATTCTTACATGGGTAAAAGGAACATAAAAACACATATGACACAGGTTGTGGAGTGTACCTGTAAATGCCCTCAACCACAATCAGGATTTTCTTCCAGGGGCGATGTGTTCTGGGCTGTCCGTGAACAATGGCATCTCTCAGCAGCTTCTCCAGACTCTGCATATCTGCCAAACGTAAGAGATCAGGTTACAGCGGCGTGTTTATCTTCTCAGAAAGGTTATCTGAGGATGAAACTGTGTGTCTATTAAACGAATGAGCCACTCCCTCCACTGTGTGCTCCAGGAGAACAAATGGAGACCACAGCAGGCTCACACACACTCACACACACACACACACACACACACACACACACACTCTACTGAACATCTGAGCAGGAGGGGAAAGAAGATAAAAGCAGTTACAAGGCCATTGTGTGGGTCATTATGTAATATACATTCTTCCCTTTGTGGTTTCCTAAAGCCGTTCTCTCTTAAACGATGATGTTAATCCTATAAGGGGATCATTTTCATTAGTAGTGCTCAGACCTCCTCGTCAGCGCCTGATCTCGTCACATCTCAGACGCTAAGCAGGGCTGGGCCTGGTCAGTACTTGGCCCCTGGGAAAATCAGGTGTCACAGTGGAGCTGTTGTCATGTCCTTAGGCAAGACACTTCACCCACATTGCCTTGTATTAATGTGATGTGTGTTGGTGGTGGTTGAAGGGGGTGATGGTGCAGACTGGCAGCCTCGCTTCCATAAGTCTGCCCCAAGGCAGCTGTGGCTACAATAGTATAGTACCACCACTGAGTGTGGAGTGAATCAATCATGCACCAAACTGTAAAGTGACTCTGATCATGAGGAAAAGCACCAAATACGACTACTGCATTATTACAACAGCAGGATTGGAGAATCTGCCCTCTGTTAAAGGCCAGTGTTTTGCTTCCTGCTGCCTGCATGTGCTCCCTGTGTTTACAGACGCGTGTAGGTGATGCAAATCTGTGACCAGTGCAGGTGGAACACAGCACATGACATTTACATGTGACAATTCATTTTAGCTGCAGTGAACACAGAAATCACTGAAAACACTTTTTAGAAATCATCAATAATCTATCATCAATTTGTATTTAAGTTACTGACAACAATACCACTGTTCATATACTGTCTTAGTTTGGTGCTTTTCAAACATCATTCTAAACTACATTTTCAACATACATTTTGATTCAGTTAGATTTTTTTCTTATGTAAAAATTATTACAATTTTCTAAACATAAACATCTCAGATTTTATGGCAATTAGAACTAAAATAATCAACTTTATTCCTCCAAAGTCTGCATTTCCTGACTGTGCTCTGGCTTTGAAACATCAGCTACATTTTTCAAATTTTTTTCCTAAACAGGAAAAACAATATATTGGGTGTGAATGTACAAAACCTGTGATTTCAGAGTCACTCACTGTTGTGTTTGAAGACCCGGATAGTGGACCCAGACAGACGCGCCCCCAGAACCAGAGACGCATGGTTCAACTCATCACTCAGAATGAGACAGCCCTGAAAGGAACAAGACAAGAAAAGCAGAACAAATGTAAGTCTGGACACGCGTCGATTTTAGGATTAGTTTAAAGGTCCTATATTGCGCAAAATGGACTCTTGTGAGCGTTTAGTCATGTTAGAATCTCGTAACATCCTCAAAAACAGACCTAGAGTTGTGATTTGTTTGATTCACATGTTTGAATAACACTTTATCTGTCTACATCTCCAGAGCTTAAAATACTCTGTTGTGTTGTCATGAAGTGGCAGTTTTCAAGTGATCAGCTCTTTTTAACTTCAGTTCAGAAGAGATTGGCAATTCCAGGACTGAAATCAACCAAATGATTCTAGTGAAGGTGTGTGGAGTTTGCAAATACAACAGAGTACTTCTTGTATTTCCACATGACATCACAAGGTGGAATAGAGTACTCGTCAGAAGAAATCAGACTAAATGTGCAGGGTTTGTGTGTTAAATATGTGTAAATGAAACAAAACACAACTCCAGGTCTGTTTGTGATGAAGAAATGACAACATAAATCAGAAAACAGCGTCAAATGGGCCCTTTAAAAAATGTAAGTCATTCAGGGAGTTCTTAGAGGAAACATGTGATCTGTACAATGGTATTTTACAGTAAACGCCGCTGTGTCATGTGTTGAGCAATGACCCTTTGCCCCAGATTTGGATTACTTCATTCTGAACTTTTCACAGGGAAATCTTCAGTGGTACATAGCAGAGTTTACAGTGTGACATTAAACAGCTCTATTTTACTCAGTTATTCAGTTACAGGTGGTTTTACAGCTCAAAAATACTTAGTAAAACAGACATTGTGACTGAATGGGGTCGCCTCTCCACAGATCTGACTTGTAACTTGGTCTGGTCTGGCCTCCATAGAGATAGAAAGTTTTAATGCCATACTGTGAAACATTCCAGACAAAGCAATAACATCTCCATGAGGAAAAGCGTTTGACGGACCCTCCAGAAAAGTTACACAATTCATCTTTAAGTAGATTTTAAAGTACCATAGATACTTTTTACTTTTACTTCACTACATTTGAGAGCAGGAACTTGTACTTTCTACTCTACTATATTTTTGAACAGGACTGAAAAGTAAAAGTATCGTATTATTATATTATGCATTATTACAGAGACCTGCTGAAAAGACTGAGGGTTTGTTTTTAACAGCTTCATATTTTAAGCAAACTAAAATATACGACATAAAAACAGCTAGAAAAAAACAACTGATTCATCTGTTTCTATTGAACAAAATTCAGCAAAAATCTGTATAATTTTTGCTGAATATGTATCAGCAAAAACGTATTAGTTCTCAAAGTCTGCATGAAATACTTTTACTGTTTCCTCTTGAACTACATTTGTAAACAGGTACTGTAATACTAAAGGTAAAAGGTAGTTGTTAACTTGTAAACTACCGTGCTTCATGACAAACGGTTACTCACATGTGTGAATGAAACAAAACACAACTCCAGGTCTACTTTTGGTGAGGTAAGAACATTCTAACATGACTTCAAGCTCACAAGAGTCCATTTTGCGGGCCTCCATATCAGCTCAATACAAAATGGTGGACACAACGAGCAATGTACTGAAATGATTAACCTTTTTGAAATGCCCAAAGTCAACACACTCAAACACACTCTAAAGTTACTCCATTTTTTCTTTTCCTTCTTCAATATAAGTTATGCAACACCACGCACCATTGTTCCATGACACAGTAGTAGCTCACCACAAAGCGACAGGTGCAGTTAACAATGGATGAACCCCCCCGGACAGGAGATTCTGATCTTTGCTTTGTTCGTCTTGTATCGGGGACATATAAAGACCACAATTACAGATTAGAATGGACGAAAAAGCAACGCCTTTTTCTTTAAAGGGCCATATTACTCCATTCTCTGATCAATGTTCTAATTCTGTTTCATCATCAAACACAGACCTGGAGTTGTGTTTTGTTTCATTCACACATATTTAAACACACAAACCCTGCACATTTAGGCTGAGTTCTTCTCTCAAACTGAAAACATGCTGTTCCACCTTGTGATGTCATGCAGTAATGCGAGAAGTGCTCCACTGTGTTTTTAAACTCAATACACCTTCACTAGAGTCAGTTGGATAATTGCCAGTGTCCACTGAACTGAAGCTAAAAGGTAGCTCATAACATGCAAATTACCACTTCATGACATCACAAGGTGGAACAGAGTAGTTTGAGCTTTGGAGATGTAGAAAGATTAATAATAAGGGGTTAATCAAACATAGCCAGGCTGGCACCACCTAGTGCCTCCGCTCAATTTCATTTCTCTCCAGCGACTACGTCAGGAAACAGAATACACTTGACAGGTGGCAAAAACCCCCCTTCTCTGATTGGCTGGTGTCCGAACTCGCGTTTGTGTGAATGAAACAAAACACAACTGCAGGTGTGTTTTTGAGGAGGTAATTAGGACATTATAACATGGCAAAAAGTTCACAAGAGTCAATTTAGAGCAACACTTCTCAATTATTTTCTGTCACGCTCCTCCTAGGAAGAAGAAAACTTTTTGCGCTCCTCCATTCTCCACCACAGCTATAAATAGTATCATTTGTATTCACAAAGCGGGATGATTGTTGATTATTGCAATATTTGGCAAGTTTTCTCAAAAAAAAAAAAAAAACTGAAGCGGCTCATCAGGGTGATTGGGGTGTAATGTCTTTAAGTGATGCCTTCATTTATTTGGCTTCATGCCGTCTGCTACCAACAAATTTAGACACCGTAAACACACCGGTCTTTTCTCATTTCCCACCGGAGTCACAGTGAAGCCAATCGCATACACTTCGTCATATTTCCTCATCTTAGCTCGTTGTTTGGGCATTTGTTTCATTATCTCCATCTTTCTCCACCTTTCGTTTAATCCCTGTTAAATATTTTCTCTTTTGGGTTTGTTCACTGCACTTCATATCTCCTGCTCTGTACTGTGTGTGACGCTCGATGAAGAAAAAAAAAAGTTCCCCGAGGTAACACTATTTGAAAAGAGTAACATAGGACCTGTAACCTGGATGGGAAAACTCACACTATAAATACAATTTGACTTCATGGTCATTGTTGTCTTTGTTCTGTAACACAAAACTTCCCCATGTACCGCCTTTCAGAAGGACAGTTCCAGCTAATTTGTTCCTTAAAAATGCAACCAGTGTTTCCATCTGGGGGCCCTTATTTATCTTACTTTTGCTCTGTGTTTTTTTTATTTCCAAGAAAAACATTTTGTCATTTGTCTGTCTCCTTGGAGATGGAAAAGTTTGTAAAGGCAATAATGGATTATGGTGGAACATTGGAACTGGACGTCAGCATGCAGAGAGAAAGGTGTGGGAGGATTTATTGTTTTATTTCTTTTTGTAAATTTTTTCTTTTTGGTTTGAATAATGTTCAAATCAGTTTAAAAATTATATTAGTGTAAGTATAGGGATTTTTATTTTTTTTTATTATTTAAAAATGGGACAGGGGGGAAAAAAGGGAAGAAAAAAAGAGAAAAGGAATTTCAGCAATGAACTGGCCGCAGTGTGTCAATGTAAGGAGGCCTGTGGCGTGTTTATGTCGTACTACCATATTACTTTTGTTTAATTTAGCCAAAGTTGTGTTAGTGTGTGTGGTCGGGGTGAAATGGAAATGTATTTTTTTGTTGTTTTGTATTTGTTGTGGGTGTTGCTTTATGTTTTTGTCTTTTGTTTTATGCTGATTATTGTAATTGTTAAATGTTCATTGCTGTATTTTTTTTATGTTATATTCAGTAAAAAAAAAATCTGTAAAAAAAATAAATAAAAATAATACAAAATAAAATAAATAAATTATTATTATTATTAATAATAATAATAATAAAAAAGAACGTTACATAAGACACGTTTAATTTCAGATTTCACACCAAAAAGGGTCAATGAATGATCAATGAATGAGGGCAAACTATGTGAAATTACCTAAATAAATTGTACATTAACATCTGAGTTATTTGGTGAAGACAAAAGAGAAACTGAATAAAGGATTAATGTAAATTAGCCTTGTACTTTGATTTGACAGTTCAGTGTGGTGCATATGAATTGACTGTATCCATGGAAAATATTGTGTCAGAGTTTATGACCCTAGTAACAAAACAAAAGGGTTGAAAGTTCAAAGGAGAGTTATTTATTAGCATACAAAGCCCAACGCCTCCTAGATAAATCATAAGCCAGATCTATGAAGAGGCGACCCCACTCATATTTAAAAAAGCATGTATTCTAAGGGCATTTTGAGCGATAAAAAAAAAACTTACATTGAATGACTAAGTTACACAGCGCACCTTTAAACTCATATTTGAAAAGGGGGAGACCTGACATGATTTCGGTGCAGATCCAGATGATTAAATGTTCATAAACAGAGGACAGTGCATGGAGAATTTGTTTGACAGAAGCAGAACTCTCTCACCTTCCCCGTTAGCGCAGGAATGTTCATGGAATTTGTAGCGAAGCCCATGCCAAACGCCATGGCTGACTCCACGCCAAGGAACCGGGCAACCAGCTGCTCCATCTCCTCGTGGATGTCCAGGTTTCCTAAAACATCATATTAATTTTGTTTTTATTATTTATTCCCTTCAAGGTCATTTTGTCTATTGCAAAAACTAAAAATACTAAGATAACCACCATCAAAACAGTGTTGTTTTGGGAAAGCATAGACTGTATAAAGAAATGGACTGAGGGAGTGTGACGTCACCCATAACGTTCAGCTCCAGTCAAATGAAGCTCATGAGGCAGGCAGATATTGGATCGAATTCAGAGCAGAGTTCAATATTAGGAATGGAAATTTATTTAGAAAAAAACAAGCAAAATAAAAACCCCAGGGTCATGTAGAGCGGGTTAATATGAACATTTTAAAACCAAAATGACGAGGCTCACAGCAGCAGTTACAGAGAGTGGGGTGACTTTATAATGTAAAGTCAATTGGAGCCAGAGTGGATGGAGCCGGAAGTTTGCCGACGCTCACTTCCTGTTTGGAACATGGACGCTAGAGTCCATATAGTCTGTGATTTCAAGTGAGGAACACAACAGTCCTTCAAAACAGGAACAAATCATCCTAAATGAAGCCATGAATACAAGAGAATATGGACGACATCAGAACTTTAAAACTATGAGTGGGTGATATGATAATAAAACATTCATTTATCTAAGTGTGTGTGTGTGTGTGCGTGTGTGTGCGTGCGTGTGTGTGAGAACAGAGCTGCATTATAAAAGCACTGAATTTCAATATTCAAATGGATCAGTTCAGGGTTAGAATACCAGTCCATACAATGTGGTGGTTATGGTTATAGCTCTAATGTGGTTGCACATTTGAAACCGCACTTTTATCCCGAGCTTCTGAACCATGTTGTGTTGAGTTTTATCAAAGCCGCTGACAGCTTTTACACAGTGAATTGGACTTTTCTTAAACCGCTGCAGCCTGTTTGTACTAGGCCTGATGCGATAACAAGTTCTGAAGTTCAATATATTGCAGAAGAAAATATAGATTACTTGAAGATAATACAGAAATTCCTTTGTCACACTGACATAACAAAAATAAATACATAAACACGATAAGGAATCTAAATGTACAGTGTATAATGATGAACAATAAAAATGAATATGCTGCTATAAACAAATAAAACACTTAAAGATGCATTGTGTAACTTTTTGATGGAGGGTGCGTCACCTGCTTGTTTCTGTGGAGATGTCTTTGCTCTGCCTGGAATGTGCCACAGTGCGACGATAAACGGCTCAACCATACATTTATTCAATTACAGCTCAAAAATAACTATAAGAAAAGGAATTCTGACTATTGCCTCACCACAGATCTGACCTGTACGGTGTGGTCTTCATGGAGATAGAAAGATTTAACTCCCCAGGTTTGACTACCCCAAATTTAAGAGGTTTTTAAGAACCTTTAAGACACTTAAATGAAAATTAAGACCAACGTCGCACCCATTATGAGGGCGAAAAACACCAGATCTAATTCTAGATTACTCTATCTAGAATCTAAGAGCCACTGTGGATTAAACCGACACTTCCCCATCCATCTTCCTCCACTGTACTGACTGTTTACTAATTGCCGCTGGCGGCAGAAACCAAAGTATTGTTTGCACATACTCCAAATTGGACGTTTATTCACGTTACATGATTTCACGTTATTGTTTATTTTCCTCCCTCCGTTTAACATTGCACGGCAGCTCGATTGAATAAAACAATAAAATAGGCCAATGAAATGTTAGACCTTTGCGAAAAAAATAAGACTTGGACAAAATAATTTAAGACTTTTTAAGGCCTTAATTTAGGAACAATAAATTTAAGACCTTTTTAAGACTGTTAAGACCCCGTGGCTACCCTGCATACTGTTGAACATTCCAGATGAAGCACTAACATCTCCATGGAGGAAAGCATTTGATGGAACCTCCATCAGAAAAGTTACACAATGCACCTTTAATGAATCATAGAAGTTATTTACTCAAACTTCTACAGCTCAGATTTTAAATAACAAAAAAGTTCTCCCACTAAGTTCCACCTCAAGTCTCTTTTCTACTTGTCCTTATACAGAAATTTGAGGTTCTGGGGCAAAAAGCCTCACATGGACCCCCCACTAATATCAATTAATAAGAGGGTTCGATTCTGGGTAGGGCTGGGTATCATTAAGAAGTTACAGATACGATACAATATGTTTTTTGATAAAGTGCAGATTCAATACGATATATTTCAAAACTATTTGATACAGTTCAATAAAAATCTTGATTAAACCACTAAGTTTGTGCAAAATGAAAAACACACATTTTACTCAAAACAGTGAAAATCTATTACATTACTTTTATTACTTTTGTCCAACACAACTGTAGCTCTTTCACAAAATAAGTTAGTAAAATATACCAAAAAAAACTACTGGCAATATATCGATACAGCAGCCCACAACTTCGATACTGTATCACCAAATGAAACGAAATGTCAATGTTTCAATATTTTCTGCCCTGTCCTTACCCAGCTCACATCTGGTGCTGCCCACTCCGACCCCGTACTTGTGGGTGGTCTCCAGGGCGGACTCAGCGCAGGCTCCAGTTCTCTCAGCGAAGCCCAGGTAGTTGTAGGAGGCCATGTTGATGACATCCTTCACCACTTTCCCCGTGTGCCTGGAAAAGGAAATGGGCAAAAAATAGATTCATTTTCCAGTGAACTGTTCACTGGAAAATGAAATGCTGACTTTGAATACAACCACCCGTGTGTGCTGGCTGCAGGTAATCTCACTCCTCACACATGAGCCCGTTTGAAAACTATCTCTATTGAGACTTGAAGTGAATTCTCGCTGGGGGTGCTCTACATGCATGTGTATTAGCTGAATGTTCAGTGTCTATGAAAAATTTGCACATATGACTTAAAAAAAGTAAATATTGTTTATTTCACACTATTTTATGATCTCTGTTCTAATGTAGTTTCCTCATCACAGACAGAGCTGGAGTTGTGTTTTGTTTCATGCACGTTTAACACATAAACCTGCACATTTAGGCTGAGTTCATCTCTTGAACAGAAAATACTCTGTTCCACCTTGTGATGTCATGTTGTAATACAGGAAGTGCTCCATTCTGTTTTTAAACTCCACACACCTTTACAGTCATTTGTCTGATTCAGCTCTGGTATTACCGATCTCTACTCAATAAAAGGTTATTAAAAGGTAGCAGTTAATCTGAAAACTACCGCTTCACAACAAGGTGGAACAGAACATTTTGACCTTTGAAAATGTAGACAGACTAATAATAAAGAGTTACTCAAACATGTAAATGAAACAAAACACAACTCCAGGTCTGTTTTTGATGAGGTCACACCATTATAACCAGGTTTATTTTTGAACATAATGTAGGAGGTTTAAACGATGAAAAGTCATCAAATTGGATAAACAGGAAGCTGAAACCACCAAAATAATGTTACAATGTAAAAAAAAAAAACTCTTACTGACTTGCAACACTGAAAAACAGAGTATTTCAAGACTCCAAAAATTGTGCCGCTGGCAAGAAAGTACACCCCAACAAAAGTACTTTGATTCAAACTAAAAAAAACAGAACAAACAGGAAAAACGCTACTGGGTTACACTGCTGAAATTGCAAAGTGTAAATTGCAAAATCTCCCTTGACTAATAATGAAAATGTTTTGGACAGGACTCAACGCGGCTCAGATTGTGTCTTTCAAATAGCAATGTAACCAAAACTCTTGTGTCTCTGTCAACATAATGTGGTTAATGACATTTCTGCACTGATCCATGTGACTGAAACTGCTTAAACCAGACTGAATCATGCCTCTCCTTTATCACACACACAAGGGCAATGACTTTACAAGTGCACTGAGAGCTGCACCTATGAGACCACGCCCACCCTGCACACACACACACACACCTCTGTATCACACACACGCGCACATGCAAACGCACACACAAAGGTCAATAACAATTTACAAGTGCAAAGAGAGCTGCATTTGTGAGACCATGCCCACCCTGCACACGAGCACAGACACACACACACACCATACACAAGCAAACACACAGGCACACGCACACACACACACGCCCACACACACAGACAGACACACACACACACACACAGACAAGCAGACACATGCGAGCATACATACAGGGATGCACATACACACACACACACACACACACACACACAAGCAGAGACACACACACAAGCACACACACACAAGCACATACACACAAGCACATACACACAAGCAGACACGCAGGCAGAAGCAGACATACAGGCACACACAGACAACACACAAGCAAACATGTTTGGATCTGTAATTACAACTGACTTATTGTCGTGAGAAATTACCACGATTACATACTTCTGTCTTCTTTGTCCCGCAGTTTTCTCTTTATTTCTCGAATAATGTCCGCTCATTTGACTAATTACACACAGGCTGCTTTGGAATGTTCCGTATCTATCTAGAAGTGTTTCTGTTGCTCAGATATACAATATCCTTCTGTGAATAGGGACGACTGTCCACAGATCTGACCTGTAATGTAGCGTAGTGTTTTAACCTGCTCGTCTCCCTCATGATAGATAGGTTTAATCTACACTGTGGAACATTCTGGACAAAGCAATAACATTTCCATGGAGACAAGCAGCCGCCGACTGCTTCCCTCCACCACAAAAGTTACACAGTGTGCCTTTAAATACTGAACAATATTGTAATTATCATGAAATATTATGACAGGCCTCCTTGTGCTGTTTATTTATTGCAGCTCATTAGTGTGAGCGTAAAATTTCCAGTTTCAGTACTATGCCCTGTGTAACTTTTTGGTTAGAGGTCAGTCACCTGCTTGTTTCTATGGAGATGTCATTGCTCTGCCTGAAATGTTCCACGGTGTGACATTAAACAGTTCTACTTTACATTCATTCAATTACAGGTGGTTTTACAGTTCAAAAATACCTAGAAAAACAGACATTGTGACTGTGAGGGGAGTCGCCTCTTCACAGATCTGACCTGTAACTTGGTCTAGTTCGGTCTGCATGAAGATAGAAAGGTTTAATGGAGAAATGGAGAAAAGCGTTTGAAAAAGCCCTTCACCAAGAAAAGTTATACAAACGCACCTTAAATACGGTTTAGAATCTGGTTTGGTTACTAAGGTTTCGGCAAAGCCACAACTCATGTTTTATTTCTTTTGGGTCCAATTAACTTTACTATGACTCATAATAATTACAGTGTTGACTGAGCTTTTTGTTTATTGCAGCTCTTTTTTTTTTTTTTTTTTTTTGAGATAATCTGCCTTTATCTCCGTATTAGAATTTAGTGTCAAATCTTCTGTATTTAAAGGCCCATATGACTCTATTCTCTGAGCTCTGTTCTAAAGAAGTTTCCTCATTACAGACAGTTGTGTTTTGTTTCATTCACACACGTTTAACACACAAACCCCGAGTTCTTATTTTAAACATATAACACTCTACACTCTGTTCCACCTTGTGATGTCATGTGGTAATACAGCAAAAGCTCCACTGTGTTTTTAAACCCACACTTCATTAGAATCATTTGGATGATTTCAGCTCTGGAACTGCCAATCTCCACTGAACTACAGTAGCTGTTACCACTACCACTTCATGATATCACAAGCTGGAACAGAGCATTTTGAGCTTTGGAGATGTAAACAGATTAATAATGAAGTGTTAAAGTGCAAACATGTGTGAATGAAACAAAACAACCCCAGGTCTGTTTCTGACGAGGTAATGACGTTCTAACATGGCACAAAGAGTCACAAGAGTCCATTTGTGTAAATGTGCACCATGCAGTTTTTCTGGTGGAGGGTTTGTCAAACGCTTTTCACCATGGAGATGCTGTTGCTTTGTCTGGAATGTTTCACAGTATGGCATTAAACTATCTTTCTATCTTCTTCTATGGAGACCAAACCACACCAATTTACAGGTCAGATCTGTGGAGAGGCGACCCCGCTCACAGTCAGAATGAATGTTTTTAGAGATATTTTTGAGCAGTAAAACCAGCTGTAATTGAATAAATGTAAGGTAGAGCTGTTTAATGTCACACTGTGGAACATTCCAGACAGAGCAATGACATCTCCATAGAAACAGGCACGTGATGGACACCCAACCAAAAAGTTACATAATGCAGGTTTAATAAAGGACCTTAACCTTATAGTTGTCACACTCACTCAAAGGTCCAGTTGTAGTCTGGGGACACTCGGTGCATCAGGTCCATCTTGGCTCCAGGGACGCTGCAGATGGGCCGGTTCCAGTTGTCTCTGATCCTCATGTACAAGTTCCGAGTGTAGAAGTTCTCAAAGTCCTGGTACAGAGGAACGAAATCCTACGAGAAGAAGAAGTAGATTTATTGATACACACTGTGGGTGCTCCAAATGTATCTAGAAGTTACCATGGTGACACAGTGCATACTTTAACTAAAACTTTATTGATAGTTTTTGTTTGCTAAAGTTTTAGTTATAGTCTGAAAACTTAAAAGGTGCATTGTGAAAAATTTCTGGTGGAGGGTCCGTCAAATGCAAATCCACAGAGATGTTATTGCTTTGTCTGGAATGTTTCAGTGTGGAATTAAATCCTCCCATCTTCAAGGAGACCAAACCAGACATTCCAGGTCAGATCTGTGGAGAGGTGACCCCACTCGCAGTCAGAATGCCTGTTTTTCTAGGTATTTTTGAGATGTAAAACCACTTGAGCAATGACATCTCCACAGAAACAAGAAAGTGACGAACCCCCAGCCAAAAAGTTACATAGTGCACCTTTAAGAAAAAATACAAAATGGATTTAAAGAGCACATTTTCAGGAGCCTGAGATGAGTCTGGGCATTCATGGTTAAATCAGCTCATCTGCTGTAGTTCCAGCTAAGTCAGTTCTTTCTGGTCAGATTGTGTTAAACCAAAACTCAGATTAAAGTCTAACAAAGCGTCAGACAGAGCAGTGCCAATAGTTAGCATCAAACCTTCAGGGAATGTTGATGACATCAGCTGCAGAGTATCAGTGGTTTATAATAAAGTCTTTGGAATGCAGATTTATAGCAATAACCAGAGACAGATGTTTAAAAATACAGTCTCCACCCAGATTAATGCTGTACTCACTGTGACCTTAAAACGTCAGATTTAGCTGCAGAAACAAACTACATTTCTATTTGGTCCCTTAGTATTTAGGGCTACTTTATGACACAGATTTACCCCAAAAAATGTTGTAACGTCTGGAAAAACTGTGTAAATTGTGATATTGCTCTCTGAACCGTTACAACTACCAAACCCACAGAAGCTACAGCAATTTGCTCGCAACAAAATGTCCGGTCTGTTTGGGGAATTGAGACACCACCTTCAGAATGTCCAATCTCATTTTCTTCATTCATGCTCTTCTCTCAAACTGAAAACATTCTGTTCCACCTTGTGATGTCATGTGGTGGTAATACAGGACATGCTCTATTGTGTTTTTAAACTCCATACACCTTCTCTAGAATGATTTGTGTGATTTTAGCTGTGGCATTGCCAATCTCCAGTGAACTAAAAGTAAAAGAGCTGCTAACTTGAAAATTACCGCCTCATGACATCACAAGGTGGAACAGAGCATTTTGAGCTTTGGAAATGTAGACAGAGTAATAATAAAGTGTTACTCAAACATGTGTGAATGAAACAAAACACAACTCCATTCTGTTTTTGATGAGACAATATTGTAAAATGGCTTAAAGGTGCACTGTGTAACTTCTAAGGTGGAGGGTCTGCTACTGTCTTGTCTCCATGGGGATGTTATTTCATTGCCTGAAATGTTTCACAGTAGGGCATTAAACATATCTCCTTTGTGTTTGTTCAATTACATCTTAAAATGCCTTAAGGAAACATGGATTCTTACCATGTGCAGGCTTCTCCGTAGATCTGACTGTTAACCTGTTTCATTGTGATTACCAAGTTTACTTCCATACTGTAGAATAATCAAGATAAAACAGTAATATCTCCATGGAGACAAGCAGGTGATGGACCCTTCAAAAGTTACACAGTGAAATTTTAAAGCTGACCAGAGTCCGTCTTGTGAAATATAGCCCATTTAATGCTATGTAAAATGTACTTAAAGGTGCATTGTGTAACTTTTCTGATGGTCTGTCATCAGATTTTTTTCCATGGAGATTGGATTGCTTTGACTGAAATGTCCCCCAGTATGGCATTAAACTTATCTATGCATGTATTGCAATGCATCTATTCAATTACAGGTGTTTTTGTTGCTTATTAAAAAACATGAGCAGGGTCACTTATCCACAGATCTGACATGTAACTTGGCTTGGTGGTGTCACTTTTTTGTCTCCATGGAGATAGATACGTTTACTGCAATACTGTGGAGCATTCTGGACAAAGCAACAACATCTCCAAGGTGACGAGGAACTAAGAAAAGTTTTGTTGTGTTTATCTGACTTCTAATAAATGTTCAAAGGTGTAGTTGTTTCCAGTACCTTCTGCTCGTCCCTCTCCCGGGCCACGTGACACTTCTCGATGTTCCAGTGGCGGAGGAAGTCTCGCAGGTATCCGAACACGGTGAGGATGCCGTAGCCCATGTAGGTGAGCACGGCCACCAGTAGGGGCGTCTCCTCGAACGACTCCACAAACGGTCTCTTGTACAGGCTGGTGTTGTACAGGACATTCTGGTTCTGAAATACAAGACGAAATCTGTAGAAGATTTTTGTCAATTGGTATTTTGCGGAGACTTCACTCTGGGTAACTACGTAAAGTGGGTTTGAGCTCCTTCCTCACAGACATCTAACTCACTGTGACTCAAAGCTAACACGCACTTTTATTATATTTGTAAAATATAATACACAACAGATTCAAATTCTAACTCATTACAACAAAGGCTACCCCATTATTTTTTATTATTTTTGTACATAGACGACTTCAGTTTGTAGTATTATTTTAATTAGGGATGGGCACGATTAGTCCACTAATCAATAACCGATCATTAAGAACTTCGTCGATTATGTTATATTAGGTTCCGGTCAAGTGGTAACAGAGGGAAACGGGCAGATTTTTGACATTCAAATAGCTCTTATTCAGAAACTAGAGGGACTATTGAAATAAGTAAAGTATCAGAATGTAGGAAAGAGTTAACACTCCAACAGGGTAAAGTTAAACCTGTGATATTCTTTCAAGTTGTTGACAAAAAATTTAAAAACTCATGTCGGTAATGGAGGAAATGAAATATGCAGCACTTTTTGGGCAATAAATCCAAACAGTGATAACTAGCTTGGTTCTCACTTACATATCCTTAACAAACTGGTTTGAATATTTGCTTCATATAGTTTTCTACCATATGGTACAAGATTAGGTTGAAAAACCTCTTACTTTTTGAGTCATGAGATTTTTTTATTAAGAAAGGTCATGATAACGGAGGGAAAATTGTACAAGCAAGTAGAAGGTGCACGATTTTGCATAATTTGTCAACTTTTTTCTTCTGAATACTTTAATATTACTTACTTAATATTACAAAATGAAAGGAAACTAATTTCTATAAAATATGTCAGTCCTTCCAAGCAAATTTTTATCATTTTAAATACTTTTTTTTTGAAAAATCATGTACGTTCATCAACAGTTCAAAGATGGAATAACACAAGATATGATGAAATACATCCATTTATTTACATGATTTGCAGGTCTTTGAAATTTGGGAAATAATTTTTGTTCCATGTTTCATACATGGTCTGTTTAAAACCTATGTAACTTTAGAACCAAAAATGAAAAAAAGGTCAACAGTTTCATAAACTAGAGTACATATGTATCTGTTCAATACATTTTTATATCAGATGCATTAACTTGAATTTTTGGCCTTGCTGTTTACTTCTGCTTGACCGGGCCCATTATCGACAAACCAAATGTAGGTTTCTGGGTGTAGATATGAAGCTGTGTCTGACACAAACACTGGAGTTGCATCCTCAGTCCCATGTTTGGGCTCTGGCTCCTCCTTGGAGACACTGTACCTCTCAGTGAGTGTGTTTACATGCACATCTGTGTCCCGGTTTTGTCATGGTGCATGTATACGCTGTAGCCCGGTTACTGCAACATTTATTTTTTTATTTTATTTTATTTTTTTACACACAACTGAGTGCATAAACTTGATGCAACAAACATGGCTGTGTGTCAGCAGTTACATGTTGAGATGAGGGAACATAAACACAGCATATTATACAGTAACAATACAATACAATACAGAAAAAGTGCGTTTAGGAAGAGAAGGAGAAAAGGATAATAGCAATGGAAGTAGAGTTCATTGAGCCTGAGTTCATAAAGTCCAGAGATATTTCACACATGGAGTACACTTTTTGAGGCTTAGGTCCATTCATATATTTCAGAGCTTTTATATATAATTTGAGTTCATTTTTAAAATAAGCAAAGGTAGGGGGACATTTCTGAATTTTACATTTGTGGGTGGTTACTGCAACATAAAGATCTGCGCTAAACAGACTCACCTTCAGCATCAACATCCCTGTGTCACAGAGAGAACACTCATATTCCACTGAGTCGTGTCCTTTAGTCCGACAAAAACTGAACCACATCAGGGCACAAGAGCGTTTTTTTTTTTGTTTTTTTTTTCTCGCTTAGTTTATGCAAATTAGCCATGCGATTTTAAGTTTTGTTTCTACTTGCGCAAAACTGCATCAAACACATGATAATGTCAAACGGGCTGATGTGACTTTAGAGTGGTGATGTTTATATGTTGTAAAGTTGAGTTTATTTATGCAGATTAGTAACAGTAATAATAATGATGATACTTATTATATAAAAACGTTAATGATTAATCGAAAATCTATCGTTAATTCTCCCGACGATCGATTAATAAAATTTCATCAAATGTCCATCCCTAATTTTATTGTCCTCCACTAAAGTCTTCATTTTATTTGTGTACTTTTTAACATGTTTTCAGTGACACCCACCACAGCTCCTTGTTCACAGTTTTATCTTTAAATATTTGTTCAGTTTAGCATGACTCGACTACATAAAGATACAGCTGGACAGGAAGTAGTGGAAGTAGTGACGCCAACAGTGAGGTTTCCAGGCGCTGTTGTGTACAGGGCGGATTTTACTGAGTCCACCAGTGTTATTTATCTGAAATAGAATCTCTAAAGCAGCCCAAGGGAGATATGATTATTTGAAAAGGTTCTATATTACGCAAAATTGACTCTTATGAGCTTTAAGCCATGTTAGAATCCTGTTAACTCACCAAAAACACACCTGGAGTTGTGTTATGTTTCATTCACACATGTTTGAGTAACACTTTATTATTAGTCTGTCTACATCCTCAAAGCTCTAAATGCTCTGTTCCACTTTGTGATGTCATGCAGCTCGTTTTATCTTTTGTTCAGAGACTGACAATTCCAGCGCTGAACTTATCCAAATCTGCAGGTTTGTGTGTTAAATATGAATGAAACAAACCACAACTCCAGGTCTGTTTGTGATGAGGAAACGACATTATGACAGAGATCAGAAAATATATAAATATGGACTCTTTAAAATAGAAAAAATACATTGCTTACAAGAAGTGTTCTTCCAAGCAATGCTGGATCAATTCAATTATTTTTAGCTCATCTATTTGGACTAAAACACTTTGCTACCTTGGGAAATGTCATTAATATTTCAGTAGTGCTTTTATCAAATGCAAAGATACAGGTTAGCTACACAGAAATGTATTATTAAAAAGTCCTGTATTATGCAAAGTGGACTCTTGTGAGCTTTAAGCCATGTTATAATGTTGTAAGCCCCTCAAAAACAGACCAGAGTTGTGTTTTGTTTGATTCACACATGTTTGAGTAACCCTTTATTATTACCCTTTATTATTAGTCTGTCTACATCTCCAAAGCTCAAAATGCTCTGTTCCACCTTGTGATGCCACGAAGCGGTAATTTTAGTTCAGTAGAGACTGACAATTCCAGGTTTGAAATCATCCAAATGATTCTAGTGAAGGTGTGTGGACTTGAAAAACACACTATTACCAAACTGTATGACATGACATCACAAGGTGGAACTCTTTTTTTTTTTCTTTTTGAGACAAAAACTAAATTAATATGCAGAGTTTGTGTGTTAAATGTGTGAAGAAAAAAACAAAACAAAACACAACTCCGGGTCTGTTTGTGATGAGGAAACATTAGAGCAGAGGTCAGAAAATGGCGTAATATGGGCGCTTTAAACAATTAGACCCATTGCTAATACCCAGGGATCAATGAACAATAAAACTAACTTCAACCTAGTAATGTTTATGAATCCATGTATCGATTGAGGATTAGAGGATGTCATAAAATGTGGCCTTGCTTGAGGAAAATCCATAACCAACTCGTATCTTTGCATACTGACAATAAAAAGCAATAAAGTGCGTTATCCTCGACTGAACCACAGCTATGTCACAGAGAAAACAGCTGCTCACTCATTTAGAAAAGGCCCCGAGCTCTGGAGCCACGTGAGCGGTCATGCTTCTCCACCAAATGCCTCGGAACTAAGACAAGGAACTTTCCACGTACTGACAAAGTTTTTCAGAAAAATCAAGGTCACAGTCCACAACTTCAGGACAGTAAATATAACAAAGAACAGCGTGCATATTACGCCGTTTTCTGATCTGTGTTCTAATGTAGGAATGAGTTCTTCTCTCAAACAGAAAACACACTGTTCCACCTCGTGATGTCATGTGGTAATAATACAGGAAGTGCTCCACTGAATTTTTTAAAGTCCATACAAGTTCACTAGAATGATTTGGATGATTTCAGCCCTAGAACTGAAAGGCCCTTCTAAACTAAAGGTAAAAGGAGCTGTTAACTTGAAAACTACCACTTCATGACATCACAAGGTGGAACTAAGAATAAAAGAATTACTCAAAAATGTGTGAATGAAACAAAACACAACTCCAGGTCTGTTTTTGAGGAGGGAAAAAACATGATAAGACTTAAAGCTCACAGGAGAGTCTGTTTTGCGTAATGTAGGACCTTTAGTCTCCAGCACATTTATCACGATTTTTAATGTCAGTGTAAAATGGTTTGTGGTGTTCAAGGGCAAGTTTTAAAACAAGCATTATGTAACTTTTCTGGTGGATGGTCCTTCACCTGCTTGTCTCCATGGAGATGTTATTGCTTTTCCTGGAATCCTCCGTAGTACAGCTTTAGACGTATCTATCTTGCTTTCAGTCACTTACTCGATATAAAAACATGCATCCTTAAACTGCAGGATTGCCTTTCCACAGATCTGATCTGTATCTTGGCTCGGTGGTGTTACCTGCTTGTTTCCATGGAGACAGACATGTTTAGGCCATACTGTGGAACGTTCCAGGCTAGGAAATTGATATATCACTATAAGTCAAAATTTTGGACCCACCCTCTCATTTAATGTCTTTTTAAAAAATATATATTTACTACTTTCTACATATGAAGCAAGATATATGGAATTATGTAGCACAGAAAAGTTATTATTTATATATATATTTTATATTTTAAAAGCAAATCCTCAAATTCCCCACCTTTTGATTTGCTGAAACACATGTACTATACACACACACTAAATAATTTAGTAAATCATTTCATATCTCTTGCTTCATATATTTAATGTCTTGTGTTTCTAAAATGTAGAAAATAGTAAGAACAAAGAGACAAACCAGTGAATGAGAGGGTGACTAGCG